TGTGTGTGTGTGTGTGTGTGTGTGTGTACACATTTGTGCTAATTCACATTTTATCACAAATAAATAGATGACTTTTAGTCCAAAACTTGTTTCTATGATTTAATTTGGCTAAGATAATCTGTCCTATTTGTTTTAGCCACATTAATTTGCCCCAAACATGGATTTCTTTGATACTACTTTTTCCATTAAAAGTTAATTAAAGCATTGAACATTAGCGGCTTTTTTTATTCCCTCCAGAATTCTTTAAGGTAGGTTCTTATTTATTCTGCAATACTTGGTAAAATATGGGAGATAATTTCTCCTGTAAAATTCTAAGTAAGGAAATCAGTGTGTTCAAATTCTGTTTTCAAGATGGGCACTAGGGTTTCGAGTTTGGCGACTCCTTTTTTAGTAGTCTCTCTCTAGGAGTGCTTTCTTTTGGTGGCCCATGAGTGCCATGCTTTATAGGCCTGTGTTTATATTTGGCATGCATTAGAAATGAAGCAGACATTTGATAGTGATTATGTCGGTTCCTGCAATTGAAAATAGTGGCGAAATATAATTGCTAGTATAACTGCATTTTTTTCCCTTGGAACCTTTCATTAAAGGGATATTGTTGCCTTGGTGATGTTTTTTAAGGAAGGAAGAGCTTTTATAAATTTACTTATTTGACAGAATGAGTTAGTGTTAAACTACCTGATATATTTTACTGTTTGCTTATTCTGTAAACTGTCAAACCTGTATGTCTTCTTGGGGTTTTAATTAGCTGGATTAAAATACAGCTAGCATTGACAGATAAACTCTGCATGAGAGAAGAAAGGCCACAGGAAAATGGTTTCTGCTTATCTTTACTCCCAGTAAGAAAGGCTACACATGCTAACGTTGTCTGTTTGCTTTCTAGGTGGACTATTTGTGCCCGTGTCACCAACAAAAGTCAGATCCGTACCTGGAGCAATTCCCGAGGGGAAGGGAAACTTTTCTCTATAGAACTTGTAGATGAAAGTGTGAGTATTTGCCACATGGGAAGGTGTTGGCCTCCAAGACTTGGGCTCAGCTCTGAGGTCCATGCAGTGGCAAATATCAGTTCAACAGAAAGAAATATGGTTGTCACTGTGGATTTCCATCTATTGTAGTTTTTTGTTTGTTAGTTTGTTTTTCAAGGCAGGGTTTCTCTGTGCAACCCTGGCTATCCTAGAACTAGCTGCTGTAGACCAAGCTGTCTCTTGAATTCAGAAATCTATCTGCCTCTGCCTCCCAAGCGCTGGGATTATAGACGTGCATTACCAGTGCCACCAACACCACCACCTGACTGTTGTAGATTTTTGGTACTATCTTGAGGATAGGGCTAAACATCAGATAAAATACTCCTAAAGGAGAGCTTTTGTAGACTGCAGCACTCCAGTTACGTTGCTAGAGGCTTAATTGAAGTCCTGGAATGTGATCCTTGCTAAAGAGTGGTGCATTTGCCTCCAGCAGAAGGTGGGCAACAGTTACTCAGCTTTAACTGCTTTGTGGGGATGGTTTCTGACCATATATACTCATTATGCTTTACTTAAAGCAAGATGCAGGGGCTGGAGAGATGTTCTTCCAGAGGATATGAGTTCAATTCCCAGCACCCACATGGTGGCTCTTAACCATTTGTGACCCCAGTTCCAGGAATCTAGCACTCTCTCCTGGCCTCCCTTCTGGCACAACACCCATACATACAAAAATAACAAAATGATACTGGTGAGGTCAGAACTTAATCTTTCTTCCCCTGCCTCTTCCTCTTATGGTGTAGCGTGGCAAATGTCTTAACTGTGGTGGCAGATTCAGTATCCAAAACTAACTTCCTGCAGGTTGTCTGGGTAAGATTTCAACCATTTAGTTAACTTTCTTACCCATCACTAACACATTGCCTGACAAAGAAGAGTAGCAGTGAAATCAAATCTCAAGCAACTTGAAAGCATGACTTGTTAGAGCATTTTTGGCAACGGCTCCTGACTGTGAAGTAACCCATCATTTAGGTTGCAGGCATGAGGAAGACTGCTGAATCATTGGGGTTCAGCATGCTTTCCCGTGGGTTTGAGCCTGCCACTCAGGAGCCAGAACTTTTTGTTTTCATTACTGGAATATTAAATGCTTCCTTTTAAAAATGTTTTAGATAACGTTTTAAAAATTATTTTAGTTTGTGTTTGTTCGCATACATGTGTAAAGGCTAGAGAACAGCTTGGTGGTCTTCCACCTTTACATGGTTTCTGAGGATTAAACTGGATGACTGGGCTTGCCCGGAAAAGTGCCTTTATCTACTGAACCGTCTCTCCAGCCTCCTTATTTTACATTTTTAACTTAGATGATTCAGTCATACCTATGGGCTTGGCTAGTTGAATTTCTCTTGTTTTATCAGAATTGATAGCTTGAAAGTATATGTAGGTTTCTGGAATGTCTGCAGCCCTCTGGGACCTCTTTACACTTGTAGTGCTGCTCCAAAGATGTTATTTTGATGCCAAAATGGACGGCTTCCACTGTTCAGAGTAGGTGTCTAGCAGTGCAGTTCTCATGTGCTCTCACTTGCTTTTGCAGGGTGAAATCAGAGCAACTGCTTTCAATGAGCAGGTGGACAAGTTCTTTCCCCTTATTGAAGTGAACAAGGTAAGACCAAGTTAAGTCAGAGCCGAGAAGCTGGCCAGTAAGTGCTGTGAGCGCAATCGGCAGGTTGCATTGTGGGGAAGGGTTTTGATGGGCTGACTAGCATTTCTTGACTTGGCCTCTTTTGCAGGTGTATTATTTCTCAAAGGGCACTCTGAAGATCGCTAACAAGCAATTCTCAGCTGTTAAAAATGACTACGAGATGACTTTCAATAATGAGACTTCTGTACTTCCCTGTGAAGATGGCCATCACTTACCCACAGTTCAGTTTGATTTCACAGGGATCAGTGACCTAGAGAGCAAGTCTAAAGACTCACTTGTAGGTCCGTTCAGGTTTGAGGACAGTGGTGATTGTGTCTCCAGTGTGGTGCACAACTACCACACTTGCCATGCATCGCTTGGTTATGTTTTAAGAGGGGCCTTGATCTGTGCTGTTACAGCTTGTTCTGTGTTTCAGACATAATCGGGATCTGCAAGAGCTATGAAGATTCAACAAAAATCACAGTGAAGTCTAGCAACAGAGAAGTTGCTAAGAGAAATATTTATCTGATGGATATGTCAGGGAAAGTGGTGACTGCAACTCTGTGGGGAGAAGACGTGAGTCCTTGCATTGACAGTCTGTGGGTGGGGTGCTTGTCCTTCTGAGCACCGGAGGGACAGAGTTGGTCTGTCTAGCACTTATGTGAGATGATCAGTTACTTTAGCTTCCCATGGTGGACTGTCCCTTACTCTACCTCAGGAAGGTGGAGACAGATTGGTTTCCGGGAAGGCTGAGTGGTTTCGTTAATGTTAGGTCTGTCGTGCATAGAGTCCACACACGTTGACAGTATTCACTCTACTGCTGCCTCTTCTCCATAAACACACCCTGTACCTTCTTCCAGCCAGTGATGCTTGTGTGCATTTGCTTTGCAGGCCGACAAGTTTGATGGTTCTAGGCAGCCTGTGATGGCTATCAAAGGAGCCCGGGTCTCCGACTTTGGTGGGCGGAGCCTCTCTGTCCTGTCATCTAGCACTATCATTGTGAATCCTGACATCCCAGAGGCCTATAAGCTCCGTGGATGGTAGGTTTTATGGGCCTCGGCTAAGCGGTTACTTGTGCTCAGGCCTTGAGAAGAGCTAGTTTCCATCAGCATCTGAGCTTCTGCCGAAACTTTGTTATTGATTGGAGTGGTTCCTTCATTTCTCGGAGGCCTTACGCCTTCTGAGATGGTGGCCTGAAAGCCCTTAAGCTGACCAACTTAATCCCCTGATGAACCTAGAGAGTCAGAGAAAGCAATTAGAATGTAAGTGAAGTGTGCATGCTGACCCTGATCCCCACCACCACCACCACCACCACTACTCCACTCCCCCCAACAGCAAGGCTTTAACAGCTGCGTGCTAAAAGAATGTGTTGAGAGCATCTTTTGCTCCTAAGTTTGAGCTGTGGGCAGCTGATGTGGGGGTAAAATGTACTTTCTCACTCTGGAGTCTCGGGAGCTGGTCACCTCTTCTGGTGTGTATTCACTCACCTCTGTCAAAGCATGGTGGGAACAATGGGCTTTTTGTTGGCATTACATCGTTATTCTCGAAGCACTCAAGAGACAGGAGAGCTTGTTAAGATCCCCACACCGTATCTAGCTTTTTTTTTTTTTTT